AAAACAACTTCGACTGTGCTTTTTCTTCTATTGATCAATAGGACATCGCAGTTGAAGAATCTAAATCATCAATCATGACGAAGCAGCATGATAAGTGATACCCATCTCATTCAATTAGAGAAAAGAGTTCAAGATGTTAAGATCTCGTTTTGTCTGTGTGCTCGATTGTTGAAAATAGTTCAACTTTAGGGAATAAATGTCATGCTTCAGAACATGGAGATAGGATTAAAACGTGAAGAACATCTTAGGGAACTAGAAATGAGATCGTGTGAGTTTGTTTCGGAATTTTTAATTTGAAGACTCGATCAAAAAAAAAATAACTGTGAGTAGGTATGCTCGAGATGGGGGTTAAAAGATGTGCAAAAATGACTAAACCAATCGAACGAAACTATTGGTGAAAAAACGTGAAAGTGAATTCGAATGAAATAGATTGTTCGTCTATTGATTAATCTTATTCTTGTCTATTTAGACATGAATCATTGCTGGAATTAATATCGGTATGAGAAAAAAAAATGATCGTTTGCAAATAGATTGAATATTTTTCTTTGATCATTTCTTAGTTTCAATTATTCTTGGAAGTCTATCGAACGAATATCTTCTAATGTTTATTATAGCCAAGACTTCTGTGAAATCTTATGCGGATCTTAGCTTGTCGTATTTTCTGCCCCGTTATTTGAAAGAAAAAAGCCAACTTGTTAAATCAAGTTCAAGTACTAAACTGCTTAAATCAGCGATCATTTCAGTACTTTGTAATGAATATGGAAAAAGCGTTGTATTTATCTGAGTAATTAATCACATACAGTGTCAATATATTGCTTTAAACAAAAGTTTCAGATGAGCGATGTTGCACTTTGGCGTATAGTTACTTACAGATATTTCATAGGAAAGAAAATCTTTGTCAAAGACATCAGCAGATCAATATGATTCTTCTATATGATTTTGGATGAAATCAGATTGCTAGAGAAACTAATAAAAAAAAGAAATCGATTGTATGACTTTGATCTGTGAGAAGTACCGTAAGTATGAGACGGTTTCTCCTTGAAGTAAAGGTCAATAAGAATAATGTTGATTACGTTGATTTTTTCTTCGTTTTATACGAATGAGTGATTCATATTGTCCTGTTGCATGATTGTAGTATCTTGGCAGCAATTAGCTAGAAAAATTCTGACTACACACCTGAGCTGCAAACAAGTAGAAATCGAATGAATACGATGAATAGAAATGAGATATATTGTAGAAAAATTATTTTTGAAATGTAGACTTATATTCTATTTGTTATGTTCATGGGAAGAATGAGATGTGAAATATGTATTCAAGTAATTTCTTGTTTCAAATCAAATAATAGAATGAAAATTATTCAACGAAAAGAAATTCAAATATTATTATGTTTCACAGCTCTGAAACAGTAATATTGCCGAAGAATCTAATTAACTCTTATCAAAAGCAAAAACGTCATTCTATTATTGATCAACGCGAACAATATTTACCAGTGCATTTAATAGAGCAAACTTTGATTGATGATGACAATTATATTGTTGTAAAACATATCACTATTGACAGTGGTAACATCATTGGATGCATCAATCATTTTCAATATGGAAAAGTTAACTTTTTCATTCAATCATGTGATAAATATTGTTATTCATATTCTCTAACAAGGACACTCTTGCTCAATAACCAAACTTTCAAAGAATTTTAATTTTTCTTCATTGATATAACATATAAAGGCGTAGAATATCTCGCCGAAATCCTCAAAATAAAGTTAATATTGAATTATTTAACATTTAATTAAATGTAAAATATGATTGTGGAATTGAACTGTTAATTGATTAGATGATTGATCATTGTGAAGCTCTTCAGTAATTTAGTCTTTTTCAAACACAATAGTGAACTATTGAACTATTGATGTTTTCGTCAATATGTTCATACTCAATCAATCTCTAAGATGCTTCGACATATGAAACTGGAGTTTGCCTTCACTAGAAAAGGTAGAGATTTGAATAAAGCAAGCCATTAAATAAATGGTTCTATCTTAAAGTAGTTATTATGAAATGTGTTGAAAAACAAAATATTGAATTTTGTCAGAAAGATAGTAAAATACTTTTTTTGTCAAATTGATTATATTACTTCAAATAAAAGCCGAATTTATATTTTATTAGTTTCTATCGAATATCAGCAAATGGAAATGGCATAGCTTTTTTATAGAAATAATCGAATAAATAAAAAATTTCAAAGACAGTATCAAATCATTAACACCGTGTATCAAGAGATCCTTGCTTTGAAGACATAAGAAAAAGAATTTAAAAAAAAAATTGTTCTATTCAGATTGAAAAGGAAAAAAAATTGATGTTTATTAATGCAAAGCAAAGGTTATTCTTCTATTGTGTTGTACAAGCAAAGTATTGAAAGACTTTTCGACATTGACATCGTGGATTCAAAGTTAAATAATATAGAGATAACAAGCAAAATTTTAAATACTTTTTCATATATCATTTATTGCTTTGTTTTTATTTTAACTTTTGTTCTTTGAAAAGGTCCAGATTATTAAAACATATAAATCATTTTCTTTTTCGATTAACTAATCAAATGAGCGATTTGTTCCTGTTTTTATAAGAAAAAAGAATCGGGAACAAATAAAAATAAAAAAACTAATACAAATGCCACTGTCATCCGTTATTTTACAATAGAAATTCGACATTGAGAAACTTTTTTCCTTACACAATAGGGGTGGTGCATTAGAATTAGCATTGGCATTTACTAATACTAATGCTAATGCATTAGCATTAAAATTAACCCTAATGCTTTAGCATTAATGGCATTAGTGTTAAGTAATGCATAGGTGTTAATATTAAATTAGCATTATTTTTAACACTAATACTTGGATTCAGAACACAGGAGGAAAATTGTTCTGTTTTCGGGAATATGACTTATTGATGACTCATCTGTGAGTCATAGTTCCCAAAAACATGAAAATTCTGTTCTGTTTTGGGAAAATATGACTCACTGAAGGGTGATGGATGAGTCATATTCCCGAAAACAGAACAATTTTCTACTGTATTCTGAATCCAAGTATTAGTGTTAAAGATAATGCGAATTTCATGCTAACACCCATGTATTACTTAATACTAATGCTAATAACGCTAAAGCATTAGGGTTAATTTTAATACTAATGCTTAAAGCATTAGCATTTTTGTAATACTAATGCTAATTTACCACCCGTATTACACAATGAAAAGATTTCGAGGAAAAATAAAATCTTTCCTTTCATTGCAGCAAGAACAAAGAAAGAATGAATTTCACAAATATTGTGAAACTTTAGTTTTGACATTAAAAGATCTGATTGGTTTGCTTTTTCGGGCTTTAACAAATACAATAGATTTCAACAAATATACAATATACCTCTTCCATTTTCTACTATAATATAATGAATTGTAATTTGCTTTTTTGTTCATTATTATTTATTTCTTTTTTTCTAAAAGAAAATTAAAACTTGATCAATTGTCTTGGTTAAATGTGAAAAGACAATTTTTTCGTAACTTTTTATCATGCACTTTTTGGAACTTTCTCCCAAGGACTACTATAAAATTGATCGATCATTTCGAAGTTATGCTCTGTTTATTTGGTTCGACATTCGAGTTAAGACCAATGCTTTCACAAATTCAAGATCTTGAAATCAAACCTCTTATTTCATTAGAAAAAATAACATTTGAATCATTTGTTTCTGTCTTTTTACGAGTGGATTGTATGATTCGGCTAGTTCATTAATACTGTCAAAAGTAGAGTTGTCACACTTTCTGATAATTCGATATGCACCTATCAAGGTAACAGCAAGTGATTTATGATTGAAAAATCTTCAATTGACCAGTAATCAACGGTTAGTTTAATCATTACTTATTTGTCATTGCACAATAAATTTCATTATCTAACACTTACCGTATAGATAAAACATGGTGTAAGGGCGACAAGTTTCTCATATGTCAACATTTCGTTCTAAAGGAATTAGAACGCATCTTAAACCACATTTTTTACATCGTTTTTGTCTATGGTTTCATGGGATGCTTTTGTGTTTTCGGTTCCCAGAAAAGGAAAATTATTTCTTTTCACCGTTTCCGTGGATAGAAGCTTTAAACGCGACTCAGGATTCCTGGGAATGGGAGCTTACAACTATCCGTGAGTTCCAGAATTTTTATCAGAAAAGAGACCAAGAATACATTTTTTTTGACAAAGTTGATATTACTCAATTCGCATATTAATTTATGATTCTATTTTAGATCAAGAAATACATTTCTTAGATAAATAATTGAGTTTGTAAGAAAAGTAATCATGCATGCGCCTATAGCAATTTAAATGAGGATCTCAACGTTCTCGTTCCTGAACATTCCGTTCTTACGGAATAAGAACGCATCTCAAATTGAACTTTCGAGTATCTTGTGAAAATCACGTATATTTTTCGCAGAAAGTAGTCAATGTAAGTTTTAGCTTACCACCAGCAATTCGAACCATCTTTCTAAACCATAGAAAGGATGCAAAATCATCGTGTGCGTTCAAGTTTCACTCATTCAAATCAGTAATGTGTTGACAATGTTTTGTTTTGGTCTACAATGAAAGCACATTGAATATTCAACTGCAATATTTCTCAGTCCACCCGCATCGGAGAGGGTACAAACAAAAACAAAAGGAATCAACACCTAATAGCTATTTTCCGCGAATATCTCGCCTTCATTGCTTTTATTGTTGTTATTATTGTCATTTATTATCTGAAGGACAAAACGGTATGATTTTCCATTTATTTTCGATAATAAAGACACATTCAAAGAAAAAAATCATCGCTGTGAGTGATCTTTCTCCACTCTCCCTCCATCGGATTGTAGAACAAGTAGAATTGTTCGTCGTCTGGAATGCTTCTAAAATTAGGATAGATTAAGTCGAAAGGAACTTCATTATAATGTTCAAAGAAACGCAAACGAATAGTAATCGGCTGTTGATTATGGGCGACGAGGTCAAATGCAAACGGTTGATGAATGAGTTGCTGAATCAATTTTTGATCGACGAGCACCTGAACGCTTTCGAATAGTGTAAAAGAAATCTCTGGATTATTCGGATCACGACCTTCGATAAAAACATTCTTTTGATTCTTGTTACTCGAATCATGCCGACAATTGATATGAACTCGTCGTCGAAGGATCCATTTTGGAATTGGTATATTCAATCGTTCCATGATACCTTGCATGATAGTGTCACTAAATGCATGAATATTGAGTGTGGCGATTTTGTGCAAAGGTGTTCGTTGCAGATTGCCAATAGCTAATTTTTGTTTGCGTTTCGCCACAAGTTTCGGTACGTCAGCGGCTGGTGTGACGGTCAAACTACTACCTAAAAACGATAATTGTTGTCTGAATAAAGAGATCTGATGATAACTTACCTAGAACGAGACAAAGATCAGCTTGTTCTGCATGATCAAATGCTTTTTCCAGCTCATCTTCCGGTAAATCTTCGCCAAAGTTAATAATCGAATCTTTTAATCGACCACGACAATTTAGCTTGTCACATCGACGACCTGTATTATGCTTCCGATTGCCAACTGTATCGAAATCACGTAAATACTTGGCTCCACATGTAGAACATGTTTCTAAATTCATGTTACCATGTAATTCGGCGAGACCCATCGGATTCAAGCCGCTCCGTAAATGAAGACCATCAAAATTTTGTGAAACAACACATTTCAGAATACCTTGACGTTGTAAAGCGACAAGTGCCCTATGAAAATATTTTCGTATGTGAAGAGATCATGGGATGACTTACATATGAGCAAGAGATGGTATCGCTTTTTGCATATCATCAATAACAGTTGATGACTTCAATCGATTGGCTTTATGACTAGAATTATTGAGCTCTTCGTCTTGAACAATAATGCTTATGAAAATATTCCACTTACTCTTGAAGCTCCCATTCTCCTGGTCCGGTCTGTAAGACAGTATCCATTCCACTGCGAAAGTCAGGAATGCCAGTCGATGTGGATATACCAGCTCCTAAACAATAGATTACAATTGAAGAGGATTCGGACGATGTCATGTGCAAACAAAAATACCGGTAAATACAATAAAATGTCGACTTTCTTTAATCCACTGAGCCAATTGATCTAATTTATTGTTCAGATCACTAGTGGAATCGAAATATTCTTTCTTATTTTCCGGATCAGAAATACCATGTGCCATTTTACTTTCTGTTAGATGCGTTGAATGAATCTAAAATATCTAACATGAAGAATCGCAAGAAGACGCACTTTTGTGCATGCCTTTTTATTGTAAGGATCTTACACAATCTGCAAGTAAGCTCAACGAAATGCGATGCAAAGTCTACAGAATCATTCATTCAGGCTACATGAAGAAGATCCACTCATTTTTGCTATGCCACAAAATCGAAAGCTAGTCATTCGAGCAATATTGTAAAGAAATTACAGTATAGTGACTGACGAGTCAGAATGTTTTGATTGATGTTAAACTTTCAGCACCAGGAAAAGTATAAATAAGTAAAAGTCCTGAAATAGAGGGCCATTCTTGTCATCGGTCCGAATCCTCATTCTCAAAGATATACCTCATTTTTCGTACGCATTTCTAAGATAGAAGTGAACTCACTCCATTAACACAATTCCATTATTGTAGAAGTCAACATTGAAGGGAATCTATATACTTAAATATCCGGCACGTATTTGTCGCTCATTCGTCTACATGCCCAGATCTTAGTCCATTAGAAACAGAGCTATATATATTACATATCGAAGTTACAACTTTCACTAATTTTCTAGCTGCTGAAGCTATAACTTTACTAGACAAATTATCAAAGTTGTTTTCTCGAAAAGTGATATCTTACTCTTTGTGGCTGTGGGCTCTAGTTAGTTTACTAATACCCACAAAAAAAAGTTCTAGTAATCACTTATAATCTCAGGGGCAATCTCAAACGTATATCTTCTGTCCATCTACGACCCAATAAAAAGCTAAATTTAGCATGGAAATTTTGAAATTATTTGAATGCTATACTGGCCGTGAAATATAGTAAATATCAACTAAGCACAACGATTCGTGTTCTGCTTGACCATAACACTTATAATCAAATATTCGCATTGCTCGATTCATCAACATTATTTACGCAACATCGACAGACTGCAAAGTGTTACGATGGGTCAAGGAGTATTGAAATATAATTGTAAAAGAAGTTATGAAATATATGAATCAATGCAAATGTAAACAAGCAACAATACTATGTAAATTGCATTGCCATCTGTGAGCGGCTTGTGGAAATAAATAGTTTGCGTGTCAAACTGAACCTAGGTCTATCTACTTTATCTTTCAAAGTGTGTTCGATAAACTGTTTTGGAGAAATCATCATTTCAGTGGTGGAAAAATCTGTTGAAATTGTAAATTCAGCACGTTATATACTATATATACAGTAAACCAGCGAAGCAGCATGCTTGCGAACAAACAAAAAATGTTTTACCGCTTTCAATAGTATAATCGGCATGGGTATGTCGTCATACGACAGAACAGAGCAAAAAATCATATTTATTTTGACCAATGCAAGGTAAATCATGACTCAATGAAAACAATAAAGGATGACGTGTTGTGTGAAAAGTTTGCACATAATGCAGTCAGGAAAGTTTCATAATATCCGACTCATTTTTGCAATGATTACTCATGTCCTCATTGGAATTTTGAAATTCAACACATTGTTGGTCAAAAGCTTCAATATGTCTGACATCCATTACAAAACACCATACGGATTGGTAATTGAGTTGCATTTTGTGGGTGTAGATGAGTGAGTAAGTAGTGAAGAGAAGATTCAGCCATTCACTCTCAAAATTTCCTATGCAGTTTGCTACCTCTATGAATCTTTTTCAGCACAAAGTGCTTTTAATGAAAAAAAACGCAAAAAAAAATTCCCAAAAAAAATTCAATATAAACTCTGCAAGTTCACAAATAAAATTTAATCCATGCACCTACTATCTACAATTCAAATTTCTTTATTACTCTAATCCCAGTCACTTCTAATTCAACAATCAATGTTCAAGTTCACAACGATGAAAAAACTCCAGTCCAGCATTACTTGTCGTCTGCTACCAATGATCTATTGGCTCTGAAAGTTTGAAGTTTTTCTAATGAGATATTCTCTAGAACTTCCGTATATGCGCCCAACAGATACCCTTAAACAGATAAATATATTGAGAATCGACTGTATTTGTTGAATGAAAAAAATACAGGCCACAGTATTTGTCTGTACACACTACTTTAGAACGAGATTGATAACAATTTGTAGAGAATGTAATTGGGCATAAATTATTTATCAGCTAGATTTTCGATTAAAAAAGAACGTTGTCAAGCTGTTCTTATAGTTATTATAAATTCTTATTTAATTAAATAACACAATTGTTGATCTTGTTTTAATTTCAAAGAAAATGATTGTACACAAGTTAAAGTTTGTTCTTTTTCTTCGCAATTTTGCATTAAGAAAGCTTATAATAATATAAACTTCGCTTTTAAATTAACTCGTATTCGATTTTATTCATTATTTGAAAGACCAAGTCATGTACAACAAAGTTCTTAATCAGACATTGATTCAAATATGAATTAGAATATATTCTTTCCACAAGACACAATCCTTACGAAGGAGCAACAAAAAACTAGGTTCATGATTAATTTACACTTTCGCTTAGTTTTATTCGTGTATGACTACTTCGAAGTTTAGCCAATTGAACATTTTCTTTCGTTTCAATCCAAACCAAATAGTAATCATATGAATCCATCATTTATATATAGGATCACTTGTATAACCATTGAGTCAAGCTATTAATTGCCTACGTAATTGTCTATTGTAAGTTTCGAATTTCATCTCTGATATATTTGGATATCGCTGAACAATCATTTGAATCTGATTTAAATCATTCATCGGCATTTATAAATATTTAATTCCTGGTGCCATGATTGATAGGAAATATGCTGTATCGAGAGTATTTTTGTAAGAATACAGATAAGTCAATGATGAGAAAGTACAAGCTAGTAAAATTAATAGTGAAATATCTATCCATACAGTTTGATCATGACTATTCAATGAACTGCATTTCAATTTGATTTCAACAACTTTTGAAAAATCAATCAGAATTGAGATATTGTATGATTAGATTACAACATGGTTGTTTGGAAGGTGAATATCTAATTTAGTAGTTTTATAAAACAAATAGTTTGCTACGCGTTGTTAATTGAAAATAAATATTGACATAAAAAAAAATGTTTTTTTTTAATGATGAATCGATTGTTAACTGAGACCTAGTCTCATTGAAGACATGATCATCATAGATACATTATCAATTATGAAAATTTTACTGAATACTCTGGTGTTGGAATTTTTTTTCGCAACAGATCATAAAGTATCAGCTTGAAATTGCATAGTATTACATATGAACGAAATTGAGAACATGTCTGCCGGGTTATTCTCAACGAAGTCTTTTCTGCAGAGATGAATGTTATCTACAAGTTGTCTTCTTCTCGAAATCTAAAGATTCTTACAAAAGATCTAATAATATCTTTGACTTTCTGGAGAAGCTACGTGTGCTGAAATCAATGAGACAATAAAGAAATTTCTAGAAGAATGTTCGAAAATGTTTTAATAGATGTGAGAATTCAGGCTAACTCGCAGGCTTTTCAGTATCTCTACGTAGCACGTATTATAGCTGGACTTATCTTGATCCGTACTGGATTCAACACTGAAACATTTGTTAATACCTGCAGCCTTTTAAAATGCTGAGACCTCCTATGTAAACTGTTTCAACAATAAACCTGATTAAAAATGATATGATTTTCGGATGTTTCTCTTTATTTGAACTGATTCTTGTCAGCATAGTTGCACTCATTTATGAATACCGATTTAATTTGGTTTCGAAAGCATCTCGTCTCACAAAAAATTGCAGAATATTGATTTCTATTTGGCTTCTTGCTAGAAGATTTTTAAATGGATTATTTACGTATTTAGCACGAATATGAACTGATATTGGAATATTTCAGAACGTCTCAACAGTTTCTAAAATTTTCTAGATTCGAAGTGAACTGAATATTTTGCATAGACTATTAAATAAGTGTTCTCTTAATGGAAAGAAAAATGACTTTTTGAACCGATACAAAGAAATATTCAGTCGACATCGGATGTTTTTTGTTCAAGATATTCGATTCTGATATAGTGCATTGATTTTAAAATTCATTCACAAGTATTCAACTCGTGTATCAATAAAATTCTATGTGACAACAAAAAGTCTCTCTTTTTCAAATAACTTTCTATTGTTTAAGAAAAAAATTTAGTTAAAAACGTCTTTTTATATTACTCCGACAAGAATCTACACCTTTTAAATACTATCTAATCTTACTACAGATAATAGTAGTTGAATGTGTGCTTGGAGTAAAAAATGGATTGTTATGATACTTGTATTACATATTTAAGAGAAATTTATTATATTCTCGGATTGTCTAGACAACGGGTATTTTAGAGAATGCACATCTTTGTTGGTTAGTAATATGACACTTGTTCGAAGCCATTCAGTCATTGTGAAAAACATATCGGTGACAGTAGAGAAATCAAAAACCTTGATATCGCAATAGGTTGATATAGCTTACTATTCATTTGCTATTTCTTTATCGGTTTATCCGACAACATCAAAATGAAACACTAAAGGATATCTGGAAATGCAATAACATTTTCCTCCATCCCTATAAGTTATTTTCAATCGTTCAAGTGACTGATAAATTTTCATATTACTACCTGACCAAAAGGTCTAGACTAAAAGAATTTCAGCTGAAAACAACACTTACTATTGTTTGATGGGTTTCATGAAAAAATGATCTGTTACTGACTGTAGTTATATTTTTTAGAAATACTCGTAGTCTGATGGAGAAAGGTCATAATCAAAGAAATAGAATTAATTATCATATTTCATAGAAGCATTAGAAAACTAAATCTTATATATAACAGTGCAAATTGTGTCGACTGTAGAAATTTTTCAAATTCCTCATTTGATGTTCTCTAGAGAAATTTCTATCTTATCTTTAACATTTAAAAATCGTCTTAATATTTCTAATAATCCATATGTCTTTTTTCAAATTGATGATCAATTCTTCATTCAATCTCAAGCATAGTGCATCGACATTGTCCATGATTGACAATTTTTCCTATTCAT